AATTACAAATCGATTCACTAAACCGTTAAAAAGTTATTGAAATTTTAAAAAATTGTAATTTTACACGTCATTTTATGGAGATTCGTTAACCGAACAGATTAAATTTATTTTTATTAACAGAAAAAAAGCTACCAGAAATTTCAAACTTTTATAATAAGTAACTTGAACTCTGGAGAATCACTTTAGCGTAAGGTTATTCAAATTCACTAAATGGTTATCGAGGAAAAAATGAAAAATTAGCTGAAAATCTCGTTTTTACTTGATAATATAATCCCTTTTCTCATTTAAGGCACCGTTTGTTTCACTCCATTCATCTTTCATTTAGCTAAGTAAAGAAAATAATGTAGGTGCACTATATTATTGATATACAAATAAGTATCTGCATTGAACAAATGAGGAGTGACATTAATTAATAGTATTAGAATTTTATGCTAATTAATGTAATCAGTATTAAACTCTTTGCAAACACGTATGGAAGAACGTATAAATTAAAAAACATCAGTCAGACAGAGCAGGTGCAAACCAAGTTCACGCTAGGCTGCATGAGAACTGGCACAGTACGTATTATGCAAACGAATTAAATTATATCACTATTACGATAAAATGTTAAAGCTTCCTTGCAAAGGTATTCCCTCAAAGAGCATATGAGCTGTTCGTCACTTTTTCACCACACACTTGGCACAACAAAACAATCTGGATTATGCGATTAAATCACTGATTGTAAATTATATTACATTGTTCTGCTTATTTTAATAAATTTGCCTATTAATATTAATTACAAGTTTTTGATTTTACAGTGATTCCGGAATTGAGGTAGTGAGGTGATACTGGTGGTGAAAATGCACGGGAGCGTCGTCGGGGGTGGCGGTGGGGGCGGGGGGAGTACCGACCGCGACCGTCGCGCCCTCGAACGGGAAGCGCTCCGGAACGTTATCGCCCAATGGAACGCCAATCGACTTGATCTCTTCGAACTCTCCGAACCTAACGAGGTAAGCCCTAAAACTTACATTACATGCTTTTCAACAATATATAACAACACAGCATTCTTAATAAGGCTTGCTGCAGTTGACATTTCCCATTTTAACCCCTACATTGAGTTTAAAAGTGTATCTGTATATGAAAACCCATTTTATGACGAAAAGCTTGAAAGCTGTGAAAGTTTTTTAATCTTCACATGGGCATGAAGAGTATACAACAGTCTCTAACTCAAACATTTATTTAACTAGAATTCGTTTACATTATAAATTGCCCTTTTGAATCNAATTCCACTGTAGAAGAACTCTTAATTTTGTCTCCCTTCTTGGCTTAGATTCTTCATTAATTCTTGTACATGTACAATTGCCTAATAGCAACAGTCGTTTTGGTTTTGTTGTTATGAAAATTACAAAAAAAAAACCGTAAGTTTTACGGTCCTCAGTTCTCATTCAAACGAAATATGTACGCATTTTTTTTTTCACACAATTTTCGCAGAAGAAAGTGTAATGTACCTACTTCCGATGTTTTCGTTTATACCCAAACCAAATCAGAATAAATAAACTCCAGATGCTTTCATTGGAATGTGTAATAAGGAATGTTAGTTACACATGTCAGTCGATTCATTTGCCAAGCTATGTGTTGAATACACCCTTATTACGTTACAAAAATAACCCTGCGTAGACAGATGAGCGCTAACGAAAAACAAACTACCACTCCGGCGCTATAGGTTGGCGTGAAAAATCACCGATCTACTATAATTAGACGCAAAGTTCGCAGACATGAGATAACGTTTATGCTATGAGAAGCTTCCTTTGTTGTTATTTTTGTTTGTCAATATATTTTGTTGCTTATTTTTGCCAATTATCTATAGAAAGGGCCATTAAAATATAATTTTATTGAAAGAATATCGCATAATTAATTATTATGGCTTTATTAGGAGAAACATATTTTGATAAATCTCGTAGAAAGACGTACCTTTACATACACATAGATTTCTCTATTACTAACCTATTTTTAGCCAAAAGTATATTGATTATTCTTGTCTTGTAGTTTCTATTTTAATCATAAATGGTTTGTAAAGAATACGTATTTCCGTTAAAATAGTAGCATTTTAATAGTAATATCTGTAGTTTTTAATGCATCATCGGGTTTTAGCACCTTCGACCCTATGTACAAGTTTTAAGGGCAGCATATTTTAGGTTTTAAAAATATGATACCGATTGGTATTTTTTATACATAATTATAATGTTTCATCATAACCTCGTAACCAATAATATAATAATTTTTATTGAAGTATTCCGTAATTTTTATACGTATAAAATAATGATAATTTATGAATATCATCCTAATTTTCCAAAACAAAATTTTGTTGAATAAAAACGTAGTAATCAGGATAGTGCTGCGCCCGATCCCGGCGCCCTTTGACGGTGCCGAAGTTCGTTCCCTTTTCTCATTTAAGGCACCGTTTGTTACACTCCATTCATCTTTCATTTAGCTAAGTAAAGAAAATAATGTAGGTGCACTATATTATTGATATACAAATAAGTATCTGCA